TTCTATTTTATTTACTTCACCATGATAAATAATTTATTCTACTACGTACATATAAATAGTTTGCACTTAAAAGATGTAAAAAAAATCAATTTCATATATTTAAAAAAGATGAAAAAATATATCATATCGCATATAAAGTCAATATTATTTACATATCTGATACTAATGGCTATTATTTATCACGTTTCTTTAAAATCTTCATTACACTAAAGTTCATTTAATTGAATGAAAGATGAAAATATCAAAAAACTTCCATTAGTAATATAAATTTAACCAAATGGAAGATGAAAGGATAACAAAAAAAATTTTGTTGTAAAGAAAGCTCAGAATATAAGAAGAAAAAGACAAAAAGTATAAGATAGAGAGAATTTTCTTATTCAAGTATATCTTCCAAATGGTGAGTGATTCTCTATTTATAGTGTTAAGATATCACTCCAAAAGTCATCTAATTAATAGATATATAGTTATCTTGGAAGTTCTTATCACTTTGTAAGCACCTATACATGAACCCATTTAATAGTGGATAAATCTAATGGATAATTCACATATACTATACAATTGATTTACAACGCTCCCCCTTGGATATCCATATATTATGTGTCTCGTTAAAACCTTACTAGGAAAAACCCAGTGGGGAAAAGCCTAGTGAAGGAAAAAGAGTACACATATCTCATAATACGCTTTGAATGTTGCCTCGTTAAAAACCTTACCAGGAAAATCCAACTTGGGACAAAACTATAGTTAAGGAAAAGAGCACAATGCGTATTTCGCTCCCCCTGATGAAAACTTTACTTGATATCTCGGAGACGGCGCATCCAAATCTTGTATCTCAACTTCTCAAACGTTGATGTTGGCAATGCCTTAGTGAATAAATCAATACAATTATCACTTCAACGAATTTGTTGAACTTCTATCTCACCATTTTGTTGAAGACCATGCGTGAAAAAGAACTTTGGTGAGATATGCTTTGTTCGGTCTCCTTTGATGTATCCTCCTTTCAATTGAGTTACACATGCAGCATTATCTTCGTACATTGTGGTTAGTATATTCTTTTTCAAAGAAAACCCACACATTTCCTGAATATGATGAGTCATTGATCTCAACCAGACGCACTCTCGACTTGCTTCATGGATGACTATTATTTCTGCATGATTTGAAGAAGTGGTTACCAACGTTTGCTTCATTGATCGCCAAGATATTCCCGTGTCTCCACATGTAAACAAGTAGCCTATTTGTGATCGAGATTTATGCGGATCATATAAATACCCTGCATCTGCGTAACCAATCAGTTCTGACTTGGATTCATTGGAATAGAATAAACTCATGTCCATGGTCCCTCGAAGATATCGAAGTATGTGTTTAACACCATTCCAATGTCTTTTTGTTGGGGAGGAACTGAATCTTTCCAGTAGACTTACTGCAAAACTGATATCTGGTCGAGTATTGTTAGCAAGGTACATTAGTGTCCCGATCGCACTAAGATAAGGAGTTTCATCACCAAGAAGCTCTTCATCATTCTTTTGAGGTCGAAATGGATCTGTATTGATGTCAAGTGATCTTACCACCACTGGAGTACTCAATGGATGTGAGTCATCCATGTAAAAATGCTTTAGTATCTTTTCTGTGTACGTTGATTGATGAACAAGTATTTCATTTGACAAATTCTCAATCTGTAGGCCAAGACAAAATTTTGTCTTGCTGAGATCTTTCATTTCAAATTCTTTTTTCAGACACTCAACAACTTATAAAAGCTCTTTATGAGTGTCAATGATGTTCAAATCATTAACATACACAGCTATTATAACAAATTTAGACCCGACCATTTAATGAAAATGCAGGGACAAATCGGGTCATTTTTGTACCCTTTTTTTAACAAATATTCACTCAGATGATTGTACCACATCCTTCTTGATTGTTTCAATCAATACAGAGATTTCTGAAGCTTTATTGAACAAGTTTCTCTTGAATCTTTGTATGCTTCAGGCACTTTGAATGCTTCAGGAATTTTCATAAAAATTGTGGTCCAATGAGCCATATAGATAAGCTGTGACGACGTCCATTAGACGCATTTAAAGTTTTTCATGAACTGCCAGATTTATGAGATGTCTGAAGGTGATTGCATCTACCACTGGACAATATTCTCCATATAATCAATGTCAGGTCTTTGAGAAAAATCTTGAGCAACGAGTCGGGCCTTATATCTCACGACTTCACCTTTCTCATTTTTTTCGTACAAAAACCCATTTGTACCCCATTGGCTTGATACCTTCAGGTGTTCAGATTATTGATCCGAAAACTTCACGTTTTTTCTAGTGAAGCCAATTCAGCTTGAATTGCATCTTTCCATTTTGGCCAATCATTTCTCTGTCTACATTCGTGAACAGATTTTGGCTCAACATCTTCATTTTGTTGCATTATCTCAATAACAACATTATAGGCAAATATGTTGTCAATCACAACATTATTTTGGCTCCACAACTTTCTCGTCGAGACATAATTCATTGATATTTCATTGTTTTCAGAAGTTCGAAACTCCTCCTCATCATGTGTTATGACTTGGGTCTCATCTTGAGAAATTTCTTTCAACCCATGATCATCTTGATCATTTATACCTTTTCTCTTTCGTGAATTTTTATCCTTGGAACCAATTGGTCTACCACGCTTCAAATATGGTCTAGACTCATTTGCCTTAACAATTTTTCCCATCGGAATATCTACTCGAACTGGAGCATTAACAGCTGGAATATGCAATTTAGTAATCCTTGGAAGATTAGTAAATGCATCTGGTAGCTGATTTGCAATGTTCTGTAAATAAATTATTCTTTGAAATTCTTGCTCAAATTGGTTTGTTCGAGGATCTAGATGAGATAGAGATGATGAATTCCAATCTATCTCTTTTCCCAACGACGTATGTTCTCCCTCTAATATTGGGTATACTGATTCATCAAAATGACAATCAACAAATCTTGCCTTAAATAAATCTCCAGTCATAGGCTCCAAATATTTTATGATTGAAGGAGATTCATACCCAACATATATCCCCAACCTTCTTTGGGGCCCCATCTTTGTGCGTTGTGGTGGAGCAATTGGGACATACACCGCACATCCAAAAATTCTAAGATGGGAAATGTTTGGATCTTGACCCAAAGTCAATTGTAATGGGGAGAATTCATGATAATTGGTCATCCTTATGTGCACAAGTGCTGCTGCATGAAATAGCATGCCCCCACATAGACACTTTGACTTTGTTCTCATTAGTAATGGTCTAGCTATCAATTGCAGACGTTTAATCAATGATTCTGCTAGACCGTTTTGAGTGTGAACATGCGTAACTGGATGTTCAACTGTTTTCCAGTAGACATCCAATAATAATTAAATGCCTGAGATATAAACTCACCAACATTATTTAGACGGATTGTCTTTATTGTATAGTCTGGAAATTGTGCTTTCAATCTTATTATTTGAGCAAGCAATCTCGCAAAAGCCATGTTGCGAGTTGATAATAAACACACATGTGACCATCTTGTAGAAGCATCTATTAAGACCATATAATATTTAAAGGGTCCACATGCAGGTTGAATTGATCCACATATATCACCCTGTATACGTTCCAGAAACGTAGGGGATTCAATTCCAACCTTAACTGTTGATGGTTTAATGATCAACTTTCCTTGAGAACAAGCAGCACAAAAGAATTCCTTTGATTAAAGGATATTTGGGATCTTTAAGGTGTGCCCATGTGAATTCTCAATGATTTTGCGCATCATATTAAATCCAGGATGGCCCAACCGGTCATGCCAAATGATAAAATCATTAAAAATAGTAAACCTTTTGTTTACTACGGCATGTGATTCAACTGTACTTATAATTGTATAGTACAACCCAAAAGAAAGTGCAGGTAATTTTTCATGCACAATTTTTTTCTCTACATTAATTGTAGTAATGTAAAGGTATTCAACCTTTCCTTCATTAGCCGTCTCAACATGATAGCCATTTTGGCGAATAACTTTAAAACTTGATAAGTTTCTTTGAGACTTACTATAATATAATTCACTATCAATGCTTAATATTGTTCCTCCAGGTAGTAATAAGGTCGCTCTTCCAGAGCCCTCAATTAATTTTGTACTACCTGATATTGTGTTGACATATGCCATTTTTATAACCAAATTAGAAAAGTATTTCTTTTCTTTTAATATTGTATGCGTTATAGCACTATCAAGAATGCATACATCTCTATTACTCATCTTGAATCCAACTGACAACTGGGGATTTCTATTATTTTTCATTAGAATAAAATACATTAAAGGAAGGAAGAAACAAAATTAACAACGAAAATTTAAATACTTCAACGTGAATAACATAATAATTAAAAAAACATAAATAAAATATTATGTAAAATATTAACAGACTTCATTCCCCAGCTAAAAGATCAAACATCAGTTTCGATCTCCAAAGAAGTCATTAACTTCCATATGAGTAATGTCACCAAGGCAATCAAAAACATCATCTTTTAAAGCCAAATTTGTTTCAACATCCTTATTATATTTCTGGGATGTTCCCGGCTTATCATCATCTTTAAGAGTCATATGTGACTCAGCTCGAGCATTGGAAGAGGAAGCACCATTTTTATTTCCTTTCTTTTTAAAGGAATTTTGATAAAGTCTTACAAAATGCTCATGTGTGCGACATTCATTCTTCCAATGGCCTTTCATGCCGCAACGACGACAATTACTTTTTGAGGGGTTATTTTGAGAACTTATGTTGTTTTTCCTTTTATTATGACCACCACCTCGACGATTAGTGTATCGTCTCTTATCTTTATCATGTCCCCGTGCATTATTATAGCTCTGATGATCATCTCTTTTTACTTCAGATTGATCACGTGCTCCCACCATATTTGTCTCCGGTAATGGAGCAGCTCCAATGGGATGAGCTTCATGATTTTTCATTAAAAGAGCATTATGTTGCTCAGCCACCAAAAGACATGAGATTAGTTTAGATTAATTCTGAAAACCCTTTTCACGATATTGCTGCTGCGATATCACATTTGAGGCATGGAAAGTAGTAAGTCTCTTTTCCAACATGTCCTCATCTTTTATAGTCTCCCCACATAATTGCAACTGGGAGATTATCCTGAATACAACAGAGTTGTATTCAATTACAGTCTTAAAATCTTGAAATCGTAAATGCATCCACTCATAACGAGCTCTTGGCAACACTGTTGCCTTTAGGTGGTCATATCTCCCCTTTAAATCAGTCCACAATTCAAGTGGATCTTTACCGTCAAATATTCAATCTTTAGGCCCTCATCAAGATGATGACGAAGGAAAATCACAGCCTTCGCCTTATCTTGACTCGATGCTTCATTTCCCTGAGTAATAGTGGCATCAAGACGTTTAGCAGCCAAGTGAATCTCAACATCGAGTACCCATGAAAGATAATTCTTTCCAAAAATATCTAATCCCACAAATTCAAGTTTGGATAAATTCGACATGATGAAATTATGAGAGAATATATGAATTAAATAAAAATATTTATCTAATACCTTTGCAAGTAGCAACTCCGTACTGATAACGTGTTATAAAGAAAGCTCAGAATATAAGAAGAAAAAGACAAGAAGTATAAGATAGATGAGAGAATTTTCTTATTCAAGTATATCTTCCAAATGGCGAGTGATTCTCTATTTATAGTGTTGAGATATCACTTCAAAAGTCATCTAATTAATAGATACATAGTTATCTTGGAAGTTCTTATCACCTTGGAAGCACTTATACATGAACCCATTTAATAGTGGATAAATCTAATGGATAATCCACATAAACTATACAATAGATTTACAAAAAAATTTCATTTTTCATAACTCTTATATTTGTTTAGCCTATAAAGTGAACATTTTAAGTATTTGTAACCAACAACAATGACATTACTCACTTTGCCTCTCATTCTTCTTAAGATGATGACGACGAGGACGATGATGAATATACTGATATTAAATTTTTACATTGAAATGCCTAATGAATTTCTACGTTTCGTAATTTTTTAAGAAAAGAGAAAGGAAAAGAGAAAGAGAAAATATCTTATGATTTTCTTGAAGATATTAGAAGGAGAAATGTCATGTAGCAAAAGTCTTTCTTTAAAATAAAGACTTTTTGAAAGAATGATCATTCCTCCTACAAGGATATATATCGGAAAAGAGCCTGAAATATGCTTAAAGTATTGGAAATGGTATAAAATTATCCTCCATCCACCTATTGGCTCCAAAATGCCCTTCCCACCCACCTATTGAGTCCAAAATACCCTTGTCATCCATCATTCTTTTGGTTCAAAATTGACCACTTATTTAACGGTTTTATATTTAAACATTTAAATATTTTTTTAAATATGTGGCGCTCAACTATATGTTATAATTTAACTTATTAGTATACTTTATAAATCAATCCACTATCCACCCATTACTAATTAAACCCCTCCAAATTAATAAACCCGTCACATTATTAACGCAACAACAGAAAAACTACTGCCAATTGAGTGTTTTTAAAAATTTGAGGCAAAAATATCTATAGAAGTAAATTATCATACATTCAAGTGTCTAAATAAAAATTACCGATAAACTTAAAAGTCTAACTATGTTCATCTTAATTATTCTTGTGTCTTAACTATGTGATGTTACTTCATAAGTAATTTTTTTTTCAAAATAATATATTAAAGGTTTTAAAACAAATCATAAATATTTATAAAATTATACTTAAAAAAAGTGCATGAATTAATTCGAGATGTATTACTTCTTTACCTTTAATAATCAATTTCTAGTTCAATCTTGAAAGAGAATTCGATTGAAAGTGTCTCCTAAATAAGCGGCTCAACCTAAAATTAATTCCAGTTTCGATTTGGACTCGAATAATTTTGGATGTCATTTTCAGGAATCTATAATTTCATCGTGTTTATTAGTATTTATGACTATTTTGATATTATAATTGGATTATTAATTGGGTGGGTTTTAGTTAGTAATGAGTGGGTAGTGGGTTGGTTTATGAATTATATTAATAAATTAAATTATAACCAATAGTTGAACGCCAAATACTTTAAAAAATATTTCACGAGTTTAATTTTAAAATAATTAAAAAAGTGGTCAATTTTGAACTCAAAGGTGGATAACAAAGGTACTTTGGAGTCAATAGGTGGATCAAAAGGGTATTTTGAAGCCAATTGTTAGATGAAGTGTAATTTTATACCATTTTTAATATTTCAAAGATATTTTTAGACTCTTTTCCATATATATATTGAAGAGAAGTTTTTTTAGTTTTGTTGAAAATTAATAGGAAGAGCGATTATTGCTTCAAGGGTAAGAAGAATTATTTATAGAAAAAAATCAAGTCTATGTACGAAGTTCATATCAAATTTGAGAACAAGCAAAAAAAGACAAATAAATCTATTTTGTAATTTTTTTAAAGGAAGACAAAATTAGTGCTTCTTAATTCCTTTCTTTTCTGATTCTTGTCTTAATTTTTTTTATGTACCTTTCATTAAAGTTTATTTTATTTTTTCTTATTTATTTTTAATTATACTTTTCTTTATGCATTTTTTAATTCAATTTTAAAGAAAAGATGATCATATTTAGTTCATTTTATCATCGATTCTATTATTGTTTTTTACTTTCATACCTTAAATCTCATATTAATGTCATTTTTATTACTCTCATAAATCATTTTTTAAATAATTCATGTGTTATTTATTTTTCCTACAAATAATAATTTTATATCCATTTGATAATGAATTTTTATCCATTTTCCGCTATAATATTTCTTAAATATTTTTTTTTCAGCTAAACTGATTAGATTAATAATTAGTGTAAAAGAAAAATCCTATCAAACAACTCTCTACAAAAGCTAAATGCTGTGTGAACCCTCCATCATTGTTCAAATTTTTATTTTTTTTCTAGGGAAGGGGATTAATTACAAAAACTGAAAATAACTTTGTGTTGTACATATACTTTTACAGAATTTGATATATCATTTTTTATCATCTTCTCTGTTACAGATTTATATTTATATGCAATAATAAGTTGAAATAAAAAAAAATTGATGTAACACTCATCTTAGTCTAATATTAATATTTATTATTTTTTATGAATTATTTAAAAAATAATTGCTCAAAAATGAACTTATTCTTCCCAAAGAAAATAGCGCCTCGATATTTATTTTAATTTTTGATATTTTTTTCTAAATTTTAAGAGACCGAAAAATTTATCTTAAAATTTTGTAAAATATTAAATTGAATGATCATATTTAATTCCTACCATCATTATTACTATTAATTTCTTTTACTTCATTTCTTTATCTCGACATTAATTTTATCAACTTTATTTTCTTAATTTTTTTTTCCTTTTCTTTGTTTTTGTTAATTATTTATTTATCCTAAAAATAAGTTACTATCACTTAATAAATATTACAAAACAAATTTTACAGAATTTGATTTGCCTCCTTTTTTGTTTTATAATTTTTTTTGAATAACAACAACAATAATAATTATTCCTCAAAAAATGAAGCTACTCTTCCAAATAAAATTACGCCTCAACTTTATTTTATTTTTGACATTTTTTCTGATTATAATAAACTGAAAATTTTATCTTAAAATTTTAGTAATATAAAAAATGAATATATTTAATTCCTATCACCATCAACTATTTATCTCTTTTACTTTCGTACCTTAATCTCATTATTAATGTTCTTTATATAATTTTTAAATAACGTTCTTTGATATTTTTTCTTTCCTTTTATTTCATGTATTCCTAAAAATAAGTTATTATAATTTTAAAGTAACTGCAAAGTTTTTTTAAACATATTTAGATTTTCTTTTTTAAAAAATTGAACAACATTTTATATGTTACTTAAACTAATCGTACAAAAAAAAAATTAATCTATCAATTTTTTTTTCAAAAATAACTATTTACATTTAATATTGTTCAATTAAAAAGGGGAAGATGTAGAGAGGGACCAAGCTAGATAAATGACTAATTTCTCAATTTTAAAAGTTTTTTCTTGCATTATATTAAAAAGTTGGTTGAACCCTAAGTATATAACTACAGCACAATCCCGATATAGTTCTATCGTATAACCGTTCTCTCCATAATTGCATCATTAAGCGAAGGAACCATTACTAATTTAAAAATTCAAAAGTCGTTATTTAGTGTGTGTTTGGAGTATGTATTTGAATTAATTTATTTTACGTTATTTTTTGCTTTTAATTTTTTTTTAGTTTTGAAAATGTTTAAGAAATACAAAACATGCTTAACTGAAAGAATTTGAAATGATAAATCAAAAATTAAAAGCTGAGTGTTTTTAACGTTTGCCTTTCGTTTATAAATCATTTAAAAAAATGAATCTAGACACCGTCTTATACTTAAAAGCCCAGAATCTATGTTGAAAATAAGCGAAACACATTTGAAAATTATACTGAAATTCTATAATTTGCAAAGGTTATTGTAGGAGAAAATGGTCTAACCCCTCTAAATCTATATCCGAAATCTCAACTACACACTTCAATTTTACGGGAGTTCTATCACCCCTTAAATTATTTTTGAGCTAAATTACTTGCTCCTTAATGCTGACGTGATAAAGAAAGGTGTAGTTCACTTTCTCAAAGCGAGTGAGAGGCAATATTTTTTATTAAAATATTAATTTTAAAAGAATTCCTGTTTTTATATTAACTTTTTGATTTTCTAAATGTTTAAAGGCTACCTTTTACTCTAATGTTTTTGTTTTCTGTTTCTTTCTTCTTTCTTTTTCAACACTTTGCCGGATTTAAGTTGTCGAAAAATAAAAGAAAATATTCCGATTGAAGACCACGATCCACAATATGTCTAACTGCATTTCTTAGTGCATATATTTCATAGTTTATAGCCTTAATCTGCAAAAAAAAAGAAAGAAAAATAGATAGTTTAAACTTGATTTTGTACTTCAAAAGAAGTGATCAATTCATGATGCTATTTGCTTAAAGGAAAGAAAATATTACATACTTGGAATTGATCAGAACTATTTCCAACACAAAATATTCACTTGGCAATCTATTTTGAGTGGCTGACATAATCTTTCAGGAGCAACACTAGTGAAACCAAGTTAACAAGCTCTAATGTATAGACATAATTAAATGCCACCAATCACTGCTTTTTACTTCTAAGAATTTGGAACAAGCTTGCAACTCAAAAAAGAACAAAAAAACAGAGGAAAGAAAAGATCAGTCAAATAAATTAAAGATGAAAGTTATAAGTAAAAGGAACAAAAAAATGTTAGCTACAGTAAACAATTCAAATTTTTGTTACAATATAGGTAAGATTAAGAAAAGTAAAAATCTTAAGGTCACGAATGAAATTTATCATTTCACTTAATGGAACATGACCTTTCAGATGTCCAAAAAAGAAAAAAAAGAAAAGGGTTAAAAAGAAAAGCAAAAAACTATAAAATAAAAATAGAATAATTATTCTTTTTCATTAAACAA